GGTCTGGAGTCGGTCGATAACGGACGATTACGCCACTGTTTATGTTCGTTCGCGCAGTTTTCGATGAGTCATATCATTCTTAACTTGGACGGAAATGAAATTTGTTACAACGTTGCACTTAGTCTTTCATATTTGTTGCTAGTAATTTAAAAGACATTTTGAAACACATACGGAACGATAATAATTTTTTAAAATATAATAACACAAAAATGAAAAGGGAACTCGGGTACATCTATCGAGAGCCACAAATAATCCTTCAAAGAGCCGCATGTGGCTCGGGAGCCGCAGGTTGGCCACCCCTGGTCTATAATTTTACTTAAAAAATTAAAATCGTTCTTAAAATAGTTTCTGTTATAAAGATTGAATATTTTATGTTCTGTTATGCAAAACAATTCCATATATGAAAATTCTCGTCATTTCAAGCATAGTTAAACTCGTATCTTTTTCCTTCCTTTGTAGAAAATATTCTGAAAATTTTATAGTAGTAATCGTAATTCTGATTTTAAAAAGTTTTCTTGAAGAATGCTCTCCGCTTTTTCAAAGTAATTAATTTCTAAACTAAAAATAAAGTTACGTGCATTTTTATAAATATAGTAGATCTACTAATACTATTCATACAATCATGCTTTACAATATTTTATATTTAATATTTGAAAAGCTTATCATTTACGCATTTATTACCTGAGCATATCCAATAAAATACATTTGTTTATTGGAAAAATCAAGTCCTGGAAGATAAGGTTCTTCGCCGTGTTGTTTAAGATATTTTCTGTAAGCCTATGAAAATAATTATATTAATGGATTTCTCTTTATGTATTACTAAATTATTTAAAAATTTTTTGTTGAATTTTTTACCCGAAAAGATACAGTTAATCCATTATTATCTGCAATATTATCGCGTATCGTTGCGTTACCGTCCACCTGAAAAAAAAAAATTCATTAGTTATACCTTTCTAATATTTCAAACAATTAATTCATAATAGGACGAATTTTATGAAAATCTACCGTCATATTTCCTTCTAAAGGAAGTTGAGAATATTGATGTATTAAACAATATTTTCTGCGTTTATATTCTTGTAAAAATTCTTCAGGCCATTTAATTTCGTTTTTGTTTTTGTTCGTCGAATTTTCCGTTCTTTCTTTAAATAAAATAATAATAATAATTGATAGTTAAATTATAAAATCTTTTAAAAATTTTGTAAAAGGATTCATGATGTTTTATTTAAAAACTCGAAGATCAATAAAAATGTTCATAATTGATGAAAAAGTTCCACAGATACTGAAGGGCACACCTCACAGATGTTTACTTGTAAGCTACTGCTGCAGTCGGAGTTTTTAGCCTCCCCGTAGTCGAACTCGGCCACAACAAAATATCTTTAAAATATTTGTTTTCAAAAATAAACCGTAATGAAGCGTTTTACAAAAAGTTAAAAGATTTTTGTAATTTTACTTCTATGTAAATTAACGGCAGTAAGAATATATGAAGATAAACACTCCGACTCCAGCAGTAAAGATCTGCTGTGAGGCGTCTTCAGTGTCTGTAAATTCATTAATTTTCATTAATTTTAAACATTTTAATTGTTTTTTAAAATGTTTGCTTTAATAATAATTAAAAATATAATGTGATTTTTAGTTTAGTTACTATCATTATTGATTAATCAAATTTGCTTCATACAAAATCTTTTTACATCTATTTTCAAAAATTGTACGTGCAGAGAAATGCTTTCTCCGTATATGTAGATCGTCTACTAAATTTAAAGTCTATATTTTCACAATATCAAATTTCCTTTATTGCAAATTCTTTGCTTTTAGCAAGCCCGAACAGAATTTTGAATCGCTTTAATCAATTAATAAGCGTTATCAAAATTGAGTTACTTAGCTAACTATGAATTTATAATATTCAATTAACAAAATCTAAGTATAAAAATATATTATAATGTTACCATTAATAACATCTAAAATATCAAATCCATGGGAAAATTCGTGACCAATTACAGAAGCTATCCCAGCAAAGTTAAGATATCTGAAATTATTATTAGAATGAAATTAAAAATACATCATGATTTCTTACAAAAATTATAAAATCACTTACTTAGGTGAATCATAATGATAATATGGGGGATTCATTATTCCTAATGAGATTGCTGTAATTATAAAATAAATAATTTAAAAATGCAGAAAATTAAGATTTGGTTGCTTTCAAAACACAATCGATATTATTAGATCTATATTATTATTCAAAAGTCACGTCAAATACTAGTACAGGCAGTAATAAGTTCCTAAAATTGTCCGAAAATCTTTTATAGTTTTTACAGGTTTTATTTATTTTAATCGTCCAGTTGTCACCAGCATAGCCAGACAGTATATTTCTTCACATCTGTAAAAGATAGGATCGATGAGGAGCAAAAAGCCCTAAATGTATTTCTATTCTTCTCATTAATAAAGTCTCTCTGATCTCTTCACCTAAGAGTTACCATGTGATCGGTTCTGCAAAGCAATTTTATACTCACAGTCAGCAATATTAAGGAAAACAAAAAGCAATCGAGTACCAAACATTACAGTTGCAAGTTATAAATGGAGTTCTGTTTTCACAGTCAAAACGATTTATAAACGAACTAGCTGTTACCCGCAACTTCGCCCGCGGAGGTTTTACAAGCAAACTCCATTTATATTCAGTATTTCAACAACCATAGTAATTGTTATAAAATATATAACACCTACCGCCGAGAATGATGAGAATTGCCGAGAATCAAACGAACTGTTATAGCAGAACTGTTTTCAATTTAATCAATTTTCTGGACCGTTTACAATCATTCTATAATCGAACCAATATGCAATAACAAATTCGAATTTAAAACGGTTCGAACATTTGGTTAAAAAATCGAAATATATAGAAATATTTATAACAATGTCTGAAATGTTATCAATTTAATACACCTAAGTACTCAATGAACACTAAACATACTTAAAAACAAAAAAATCGCATCTAAAATAGTACAGTAGAAACCGTTCTTCCGGTTAAGCCTTAATCCTCTCCTTCCTCCCGCGGGAGAATTTCGAAAAATCCCTTCTTAGTGTGCATTCCCATGGTGTACCCTACTAGAACGCAGTTAAAAAAAAAAAAAAAAATTGCATCTAAAATAGTACAGTAGAAGCCGTTCTTGCGGTTACGCCTTAGTGCTCTCCCTCTCCCCCGCTGGGGAATTTCAAAAAATCCCTTATTAGAGAGATTGTGGACGACGTTTTCAACGCAAAAACGTGTACGTCGGACGTTCAGCGTTATGTTCTTTTGAGCCTAGAAGTTTGACAATGGCGTTTGGAACGTCGAGCATGATTCCACTGAGGTTCCAAATGCCATTGTCAAACTTCTGTAAGATTGCCGACGTTAATTTAAGGGGAATAAAGTTTATCTCGCGTCAGAATGAGCCTAAGGGAAACCGCGTATGTGGGCGGTGGCGAAGGAGGCAAATGAAGAACAAGTGTTTTACAAGAGAAAACCCGTTTATTTGTTCGAATTCATGCTTACATCGATATTGGACAATTCCAAAATCTCGGTGTTGCTATGAAACGGTGAGAGTTCGGGTGATTGGTCGTAGCCCGGGCGGACGAGAAGGATCATTGGACGATGTAGACCAGGGGTGTCCAACCTTTTTGTTTCTCTGGGCCGCATTGGAAGAAGTCAAGGAGTTTTGGGCCACAAGTATATATAACATATACTTGTGGCCCAATATACAAGTATATTTAAGGATTAACATGTCTAAATTATAATAATAAGTATTAAAACTTTATCACGAAACAGGATATCTTAAAAAATTACTTCTACAGACACTATCAATTTTTATTTAGAAATAGATAAATTCATTTATTTGAAAAAACGCAAATATTTGGTTCATTTGAGTCTCTGATTAATAAAAAGCGACGAAACAACATTTTAAAGCGCATTTTTATTCAACTACAGTAGAACCTCGATTATCCGCCCTAATTGGGGACTGGGGTTGGTCGGATAATTGAAAAGTCGGATAACCGAAAAGTATGAAAAAATCCATTATTAGTGTAGTATATTATTATATCCCATGTAATTAGTATATTAGTATATCGCTATTAACCTATTTTGCGTTGAATTTTCATCGATGTTAAGCCTAACAAAAATTTTTTAAAATAATAATCGTCGCTATTGTA